AGAGATAAATTAAACCTTAGGGACGATCTGATCCAGCCCCCTCATTTTACAGGTGAGAAAACAGGCAAAGGTTGAATGGCCTGTTCAGGGTGAGTCAGTGGGATATCGGGACCAGATGTCCCTAACAGCAGACACTGCTTCACCATGTGCTTCACCTTGCTTTTAGATTTCTCTTTTTATGATCATTGCCAGTTCAGCCACTCAGTCGTGTCTGACTCTTTGCGACCCACAAACCGCGGCACGCCAGGCCTCCCTGTCCATCACCAACTCCCAGAATTTATCCAAACCCATGTCCATCGAGTTGGTGATGCCACCCTACCATCTCATCCTCTGTTGTCCCCTTCTCCTCCCGCCTTCAATCCTTTCCAGCATCAAGGTCTTTTCAAATGAGTCAACTCTTCGCATCATTATGCCAAAATGCAAATGTGGTGGCTGATCGGGGATGTTGCTGGCCTACGATCAATTTATTATGTAGTTCTTTATCAGTTGGATGGTATTCACAACAACTGTTTTTTGTTTTTTTTTAATATTTATTTATTTTTGGCTGCATTGGGTCTTAGTTGTGGCATGTGAACCTTTCGTATGTAGGCTCCGTAGTTGTGGTGCACCGGCTTTAGCTTAGTTTTCTGAACAGGGATTGAACCTGAGTCCCCTGCAGTGGAAGGTGAATTTTTAGCCACTGGACCACCAGGAAGTCCCTTTAAATAAAGTGTTTGTTCATGGCTGGGCTGGGCCTTCCGCATGCCGGCTCTCTCCACTGCAGTGCATGGGGCTGCTCCCGGCGGTGGTCCTCTCGCTGCGGAGCGCTGGCTCAGGCGGCTGTGGCACGTGGAGTCCTCTCCCACCAGGACCAAACCTGTGTCTTCTGCATTGGCAGACAATTCTTAACCGCTGGACCACCGGGGTCGTCCAGAACAACTGGTTTTGATTAAAGATCACTGAGCAATGTGTCCAGTTTCACCCTTAATGAATTTCACTTCCAGAGTTATTTGTCTTTGTTTTTAATTTTTGCAAAAATGGTGAAAAGCGATCAAGGCCTTAGAAAAAGGAGTCATAATAAAAAAGGGACTTAAAATGAATTTCCTCTAAAGAGTCATACAAGGAATAATTTCTTTATTAATAGTTTATTACTAGTTTCTTTATTAGTTTGAGTGGCAGATGTAATTAAAGGACTCAGAAGAAAAGTGACATTATATTACTAAACTGTTTGCCAGGTTAAATATTTAATCCAAGGAGCTTTGTATATTTTTTTTACATTCAGTATTTGGTTAATTTGACAGGGATTAGAATGCCCAACTCAGAAAGGCTTAACTCTGTCCAAATTAAGCAGGCAAATACCTAATTGCTTTTGCTTAAGAATTCACAAGCACTGTGCTCTCACCTGGGAGAATAAGCAGTGTGGAAGTGTTGTTGTTTAGTCACTAAGTCTTGTCCTACTCTTTGCAACCCCATGGACTGTAGCCCACCGGGCTCCTCTTGTCCATGGGACTTTCCAGACAAGAATACTTGAGTGGGTTGCCATTTCCTTCTCCAGGGGACTTTCCCAATCCAGGGATCGAACCCGTGTCTCCTGCATTGCAGGCAGATTCTTTATCACTGAGCTACCAGGGAAGACCTTTGAACAGTGTTAGGTGGTATCATAGTTACAGAAGTTTTGAACTGGGTTATTCAGTTATAATACATACACATACTTATAGCACTGTATTGCTTTACAGAATCTATAAAATGTTATTTCTGTTAAATCTTCAATATCATAAGTTATATTATCCCCCAAAGATTTCACTTTGCAAATTATGACAAATCAAACCAACCCTGAAAGGCAGAAGCTATGAAAACCCAGAATTGTATATACATAACGTCTCCCAGACACACCACATCTTTCCCCCTGCTTATTAGTAAGATGTAGAATATTATATTTTATAAATGGTAAGTTAGAATGACAAGCAGTATGTTTTATTTCAAATAAAGTAGTATGTTTTATTCAAATCCCCTGTATCCCAAGCCCTTTCAGGGCAAACAAAATTGAATTCTCTCATGATGGTCAGAGAAGCAATTTATGAGAGCTTTAATGATGTATGACTTTCTCATGACTTACTAGCAATCATTCCCAAGAATCCAGAACCTCTGTATCACTGACCACAAGGTCCTGAAGGAAAATGTATGCACATCCCCCTTAGGTCAGCTCAAAAGGCTGAGTCATGGTGTGACGAGGCTGATCAAGCAGAAGAAAAGAGTCTTCTCTGGGAGGAGAGTGGTCAGGAATTAGTGCTGTGTAACGGAGCAAGGCACCAGGAATGTAGGCTGTCCTCATCCCGTGGTGTTTAGAATATCCTTTGTGGAAGGAGAGAGAGACAACTTCCTGCTCTAAGAATAATGAAGCCCTAAGGAATGAACATCTGTTCTCTTATGCAATGTTTAAGAGAAGCAGCTGTTATCTGCTTTGAGTTAAAGGTAGGTTTGCTCCCACCTCCACACTTCCGAGCTCCATTCCAGTGCCTGCTCGGTCTGTGATGCTGAAGGCTGCTGTAGATACCGCAGCCATTTACCCAGACATTTGTCTTCCTCCCTTCCCCTCCTCAGCCCATGCCTTAGCCCTTGCAGTTGGCTGGACAGAGGGCTTATTTTCTTGTGAAATTTGGGCTTGGGGAAAGAGACTTAATTTGGAGTATGAGGAGGGTGACATTCTTTTAAAGTTGAAACACGTCTGGTATGCGTAAGTAAAAGGTGCCAGTCAAGATGCACAGCGAATGTGCACGTGCCTGCAGCTTGGTAGTGGAAAGTTCTAGGTTGCTCCATAAGGTTTTTTTTTTTTTTTTTCCATTTATTTTTATTAGTTGGAGGCTAATTACTTTACATCATTACAGTAGTTTTTGTCATACATTGAAATGAATTAGCCATGGATTTACATGTATTCCCCATCCCAGTCCCCCCTCCCACCTCCCTCTCCTTAAGTCATATCCTCTACCAAAATTAATTACTAATGATCAAACACTAAAATATGATAGCCAAAACTGTAAAAACTTTTTGAAAGTAGGTGTATATCTTCATGATCTTGGATTAGGCAGTGGTTTCTCCAGGTGACACCAAAAGCACAAGAACAAAAGAGAAACAGATACATTTGACTTCATCAAAATTGAAAACCTTTGGGCTTTAAAGGACACTGTCATAAAAGTGAAAGAACAGTCCACAGATGGAAGAAAATGTTTGTAAGTTATAAATCTAATTAGGGACTTCTATCTAGAATATATAAAAAAAGCTCATGACAATAACAAGACAAATGACCTCCTTTTTTTTTAGCTGAAACAATGGCTGCTTGCTTTATTTATTTATTTATTTTTCTTAGCACTTTATTTTTTTATATTTTATTTTTTTTTCCATTTATTTTTATTAGTTGGAGGCTAATTACTTTACATCATTACAGTAGTTTTTGTCATACATTGAAATGAATTAGCCATGGATTTACATGTATTCCCCATCCCAGTCCCCCCTCCCACCTCCCTCTCCACCTATAACTCTGTGTGTGACCTTTTCACTTCACAAAAAGATGGAGTGAGAGCAAAGAAGTCATGTGGCAGATACTCAGAGGAAATTTCAGGGGGTTAGAGAAGAGGAAGGAAAAAACATCAGCAGGAACCTGGCTGAGATTTCTGTATTTTCTCCCTCTGCCCCACACCAAGTTAAAGCCTCTTTTTATCAGATGAATTTCAGCCAGATGTGGCTAAGGCCGCTAAAGTGCTGGCAGAATAAATAGTCAAGAGGGTTGAGGAGTGAGGTTCTTGTAAGTTTTCATGCTGGTGGGGGCCTGGCAGAGAATCTGGGAGTGAAACCTGCTCAGTCTGAGGGGGCCAGGGGGTGTGAGGTGGGGGTGTGGGGGAGGAGAGCTGGCTGTGGCTTCGTGGGAACTGAAGCTCAACGTGGCCTGATTTTTCAGGAAAGACCAGAAATACTGCTTTATTGTTAAAATCTCCCAATTTTTAAATAGTATAACAAATAATGGTGATTTTTAAAAATATTCAGTACCAAACAAAAGAGATTGGAATGAATGCATCTGCTAGTTTTCTAACTCAAAATTAATGGACTTCACCTTTCTAGGAGGATTTGGGACCTTAAAACCAGACCTTATAACTTGTAACTCAAATTAAGTGAAGAGAATGAGATTTCCCCCCCCCCATTCATTTAATAAGTATTCATATTAACAAATATCAGAACTATATCCATCAGTGGACACAATGGATACAAAGATGTGTAAGATTCAGCCCCACCTGTCAGTCCAGTGTGGTTAGGAGCAGATAAACAAGAAAGTACATTGAAATGAATTTTGTGTGATTAAACAGGTATTCCCACAGTGGGCTTGGCTCTGAAGGGCATTTATTAATAACTTTAATTTGGATGGGAACTGTGTCTTAAAGAAGTCCTTTAGTTAAAGAAAGTAGGAGAAGCAGGAGGTAAAAGGAACATTGATTTTTTTTAAAAAGAGCAAGGTGTGTATTTGAAGAAATTGCAAGTGTTTACTACCACTAGATGATTAAAAATCAAACCAAGGATGGAGCTAGAGTATCCATTTCATAAAGTTGTCTTGAGAATTAAACATAAAATGCCTAGAACGTCATCATTATCCTGCTCACTACTTATTCTCAGTCCATAGTACTGGGATGGGAGCAGAATAAGTACTCAGTAAATACCTGCTGAGTGAATCGACACTGAGGAAATATAAGGCGGTCGGGTCCCTGGACTCCTTAGATCTGCCTAGTGTTCCAGATACAGTTACCCTCTCTCCACCTGGCCTTACTTGGAAACATATCACTTACCCACAAAGGGCTCAGTTTAAAAAAAAAAGAAAAAAGGAACAACTTGTATAGTAAAATATTTCTAGCGTATGACATTAAAAAGAAAAAACTAAGTCCAGCGTGCCATTTCCGAAAGCAAAGCGAGAAAGCGCGGTTGTCTGTGCCGCTCTGATTAACAGCTTCACTTCGTTGCTTCCTCTTGCGTCTCCCAAGGCTGCTGTGGTGCCGTCTGCCCAGACCCTTAAAATCACCGACTTCGGCTTCAGCGACTTCGAGCTGTCCGACCTGGACACAGCGCTGTGCACAATCCGGATGTTCACGGACCTCAACCTCGTGCAGAGCTTCCAGATGAAACATGAGGTGGGGACGTAGCGGTGTGCTCTGGAAATGGGGTGTGTGTGTGTAAGAGGGTTAGTTTCAGGCACTAGCATGGAAGGAAGTTTCAGTATGAAATGAAGATGAACCAAGTATGAATGAAGATTCATATACTGTCACCTAATACAGACCCAGGATGTTTGAAGGGAAACCATCAACCACTGGGAGGACATGTACTGCGTCCCCCACACGTCTGGAGCAGCAGGTTGCAGAACAGGGCAGGGTGTCCCTGGCCCAGAGCGCGGTGACGGGGATGGGGCGGGAGCGCTGTGCGGGGTGACGGTGTCGGGAGAGCAGCTGCAGGGGAAGGAGAGAAGCCGGCCGCCTGGGTCCTCGTTCGCTGCTTAGAGGAGTTTGCATTTTATTCTGAAAACAATGGTGAGTCACTGAGGAATCTTACGCAGGGAAGTAATATGATCTGAGGTTATGATAACACAGTAGAAAGAAGGACCCAAACAGAGTGAACGCCTTTGGAAAGGAGGGAGCCGAGGGGCTGATGTGAAGCCAAGCTCTTGGTTCAAACAGGGTCACACATGTGGAGTGAAGATGAAGACTGGTTTTAACTCCAGCCAATTACCTTACTTGCCTCTCAAAAACAGCAAGACTGAGATCAGTCCCTTCTCATACCAGTTGGGGGGATATCAGGGAATTCTAGTTTGTTTCATAATGCCTGTGTTATTGTATCGAAGAATAAGGGAGAACAGAAAGGCCTATATGAAAAAGAAATTTAGTAATTTGCCTTTAAAGCCGTCTTTTTTTTTTTCCCCAATCAGTTGAATGTCTAGTCTCCTTGTATGGATTTCCTATATGGATATGTAAATACCTTGAAGGCCTCCACTATCCAGCACTCCATTAATTCATAAAATGACAATTTATTAACAATAAACCATGTGCCCAGCATTGTGCTAGGGATGCACTTTAGTGATGAGTTGTCCCTGATCTCAGAGACTTACTGAGGTCTGAGAACTGAGCTCTAATATAGTTAAGGTTAATACAGTGTCATTTCTGGTATTACTGGAGGCCCAAATCTGGTTCTTCCTTCAATTTAACCAAAGTTTATATTGTTCTTGGGTGAAAATAGAACCTGTACACTCCAGTAATCCTTCACTCCTATTAGAGTGTGTTGATTAAGGGATATCATATCATTTAATTATTTCAAGAACCTCTCAAGAAAGGTTCTTTGGCTATTATTGTCCCTGTTTTACAAATGAAGAAACTGACATAGTGTGAAAGTGAAGTAGCTCAGTCGTGTCCCTACTCTTTGTGACCCCATGGACTGTACAGCCTACCAGGCTCCTCCGTCTATGGAATTTTCCATGCAAGAGTATTGGAGTGGGTTGCCATTTCCTTCGTCAAGAGATCTTCCTGACCCAGGGATCAAACCTGGGTCTCCCGCCTTGCAGGCAGACAGACGCTTTACCGTCTGAGCCCCCAGGGAAGCTCCAGACATAGCATGATGGAGTAGAAGATTCTTGGATTTGAGTCATAGCTCTACTGGTGATTAGCTCTCATTTCTTTGGGCAGTTAATTGCTCACATTTTCAAGTTTTGTAATCTGTTAATTGGAAATAATGGTATGACTTTCCCTATGGGGGTCTTATGAGAATTATACATGCATCTGTGTGATTGTCTGTTGGTATGTGTCCACACTTGTATATTTTGCTTAATACAAAAGTATTAAGTAGAAAGTTAATCCCTTCAAGTCAAATTTGACCATGGTTATATTACCCATGGTCAGATTTTTCTGTTGTAAGTCACAGGGCTCATGCATTAAAGCCTTTATTAATGGAATGAAGATCTCATATAGAGCCAGAAGATCTAAATGTGAGTCTCAGTTCTGCTGCTTGCTAGTTATGGGACTTACATAAATCTAGATAGCAACTCAGGTCCCTTTCCATTCCTGAGATCTCCCATACTTTGCACCGGTAATGGCTCTGTTGAAAGGGCCCGGCCAGAACAGGAGTATGATCCTTGTACCTACTTATGAAATTATTACATAAATTGATTTATTTCTTAAAAACATAAGCTCTAAACAAAATTCTGTAAAGCAATTTATCCTTCAATTAAAAGTAAGTTTTTGTTGTTTTTTTAAAATTTTTTTTAAAGTAAGTTTTAAAAAATAAGGTTTTAGATAGCATTTGAGTGTTAGATAAGAAGGTAGTCCTTTGAATTTCTCTCAGTGTTTTATTTTTACCTTTTGCTGAATGTGTGTCCATTAGGCAGGTGTCTCTCCCCAGCGTCTCGTTCATCTCCTCTACTTTTCCACTTGAGTAACCACTGTTCCGATTCTGGCCGGTGTCAGCTTGAATGTCTCTGTTACTCTGATGGACCTTCCTGCCTTGGTGATTCATCCGTTTTATTTCAGATATTATTGCCACTATACAATTCAGATATAATTTTAGGATGGTAATTAAAATGTTGCTGCTAGAAAAGATGTGAGCATCATAAAGTGCCCTGACAAAGAATCCTTCCTACTGAAAGATACGACAAATCTTGTCCCTGTTGGCTTCCAGACCTTTTCTCTCCTGTAACTCTCATGGATCTCTGAGACAGATTCTTTTGCTTTCCTCTACCAAGCTGCTGTGCTATGCCTGCTTTCCTTTGCCTTCTGTCTTTGACAAGTTATTCCTCCCATGAATGGACAGGATGGTCCACTCCCCAAGTGCACTCCACTTTGTGCCACAGCATACTTTTTCCTTGAAGCATGATGCAGAAGTCTCTATTCCTGGGAAAACTCTAGGACTGACTTCATGCCAGTTGGAATCCTGTTGACAGTTTATAAATTCGTGTTCTCATTTTTATGTGAATTTATTTCCTATATATGTGTGCTTTTGTTAGCTTTGCTACTGATTGAAACTCTTGAAGGCAGGAGCCGGGCTGTGTTTTCTTTCTTTGCTTTCTCCCACAGAATCTTAAGTATGTTGCTCAGCACTTAGGAAGCCTTTGTCATTGTTGGAGACTGATTCACTGTATTGAGCATGCTCCCTAGGGTCTTCAAACTGCTCACAGCTGTTCACAAGTCCTCTATGAAAGGCTATTACAAGTTTGAACATTCCAGGCATATCCACCAAGCATTTAACAGATCTGACCATAATTTTCCTAAATGCTGTTAAGAACATTCTGATAACAGAATACAAAACTGTACTTGAATCTAGTTACTAATTAGATACAATGGGGTGGTCATTGGGTCACTCAGTTCAATAGGCCCATCTCAGTAGAAGCAGAATCAGGAGTTCCCTGGTGACCCAATTGTTAGGTCCACTTAGGATGACCAGGTTCAACCCATGGTCGGGAAACTAAGATCTCACAAGCTTGCAGCATGGCCCCCAAAAAGAAGACTAGAGTAGTCCATTAGGAATTAGGTGTCATAGTTATTTTGTCCATTATTTCCCATTATATGCTATACATGCCTATTTAATTATGCCTACAGATTTTATGATTAGTAGAGAGATATGCAATGGCAATGCACTCCAGCACTCTTGCCTGGAAAATCCCATGGACGGAGGAGGGCTGGTGGGCTGCAGTCCGTGGGGTCGCGAAGAGTCGGACACAACTGAGCGACTTCACTTTCACTTTTCACTTTCATGCATTGGAGAAGGAAATGGCAACCCACTCCAGCGTTCCTGCCTGGAGAATCCCAGGGACGGGAGCCTGGTGGGCTGCCGTCTATGCGGTCGCACAGAGTCAGACACGACTGAAGTGACTTAGCAGCAGCAACAGCAGAGAGATAGTCCCAAAGGTTAAATATCTGGGCTTTCCTGCTTATTTTCCTTGATTCTGTGATTAATCGCCAGTAATTTTCTACAATGGGAGTTCCCAGGTGGCTCAGCGGTAAAAAATCTGTCTGCAAGTCAGGAGACATGGGTTTGATCCCTGGGTCGGGAAGATCCCCTGGAGAAGAAGGAAACAGCAACCCATTCATTCCAGTATTCTGCCTGGGAAATCCTGTGGACAGAGGAGCTTGGAGGGCTACTGTCCAGGGGGTCGCAAAAGAATCAGACACAACTTAGCAACTAGATAGTTTTCTATAAGACTTCACTGTATACTTTCTAAACAGATCAAAAGAAAGTTAATAATTCTTACTTAAAATTCTCCTAATAAGATGAATCTGTTATCTTCAGGGTCAACTTTATTCAGAGATGGTCATGCTATAGTGTATTTCAGGTCAGCACATGTCAGTCTTAGCCTTCGAAAATCCTCTGGGAAATATGGTTACTCAGGGGTGGGTAAAAGAGCTTGGGGACACTTGGGTTCCTTTTATCAGAATTCTCTGTGAACTGCGTCATAGAACAGGAAGAGAGAGACCTGAGAAGAAAAGGGAGGATATGAAAGCATTGATTTTTCTGCCAAATCCTCTATAAGCAATTTTGTACCAACAAAGAAGAAACCTTGTTTTTTGGCCTACTTTTGCAGCCAATCAAACTGTGCTGAATATTATTAAAGCAGGATTCTTTTCCCTGGTACTTTTTCCATTCCCCAGAGCAATGGCTTTTGTGTATGAAATATCCCCATAAATATACATAGGGAGAAGTACATATTTATTTTTAGAGTGCCTCCAAAGCATAGTAAATCATTCAGAATTGAAGAGAGGCAGACTCTGACGCTAACACAAACAAAATTATCATGCTTAGGGCCCATGAGTCCCCTGGGCATTTTGTTAAATCCACCACTTAGGAGTTGAATTAAACCCAGCTTGTGAGATTTTCTGAACAGTCTGTCCTTTTTCCCTCCATCTTTAAAAATATATAGATTAAACACACACACACACCAGGGCTTTATGTGTGTGTGTGTGTTTTAATTACTTCTTGGTAACCAAGCAGTAACTCTGCCTGAATATTTAAGAACCGTTTAAAGGGGACAGAGACTGCGACTTGGAGTTTTAGTTTGTCCTTGGATATGTGCTGCGTGCCTGTCTGTCCTGGAGAAGCCTCACGAACACCTCCGCAGACATAGAGAATGAGGGCATGAGAAGCGGAGAGTGACTGCCTGCACGGCCGCTGAGCGGAGTCCTTGCGCCTGTGACTGCTGGACTGCCCTGACTGATTGCACGGGGACACAGCACCCTTTATGAAGCCCGTCTGTGCCCCGCATTTCTTAGCGCTGCCTTGCCTTTTACATCTAGTTTAGTTGGCCCCATGGTTTGCGTGGTGGACTCTGGAATCAAACTGTTGTCAAGATCTGAATTTTGGCCCCATCCTTTACATGCACTGTGACCTTGGGCAAGCTGCCTCTCGGAATGTCAGTTTGGTCATCTGTAAAGCTGTCTCAGTTGCAGTGCGTCCCTCAGAGTCCTGGGGTCAGATGTCAGTGCTCTGTACAGTGCATGAAGTCAGTGTAGGATAAGCGTTAGCAGTTATTTTGACTACTTACCCTTTGTCTCCTAAAGGTCCTTTGCAGGTGGATTTTAAGTGTGAAGAAGAACTATCGGAAGAACGTCGCCTATCATAATTGGAGACATGCCTTCAATACGGCTCAGTGCATGTTCGCTGCACTAAAAGCAGGCAAAATTCAGGTACTTCTCAGAGTCGTTTATGTATTTAAGATGTTTCATTGCTTTACCGCACATCCTTCCCGTTTTTTTTAATGTGCACCAGTGATGATTGAGAATAATACTTACTGCCACTTAGAAGTAAATTGTGTCGTGTGCGCTTGTGCTCAGACATGGCCAACTCTCACAAGCCCGTGCGACTCTGACCCACCAGGCTTCTCTGTGTGTGGGATTTTCCCGGCAAGAATACTGCAGTGGGTAGCCATTCCCTCCACCAGGGGATCTTCCCAACCCAGGGAGTGAAAACCCTGTCTCCTGCGTCTCTTAATTCAAGAAGACTAATATGGCAAAATAATTTCTAATTTTCTTTCATATATAATATACATTGTATATTTAAAAAACTTTTTTTAAATAGCTTCATGTTAAACTTAATAGTCTTTGGCCAAATAAATGCCTCCTTCAGAGGAGACTCTACAGCAGAAGGAAAGTATCCCGTTTCTCACAGTCACAGTTAAACAGCTCCACAGCAGATCTCTCAGAAACCACCCAGGTCCTGAACTCTGCTCCACAGATGGGCCCCGGGTCCTCCACCTCATTTTCTCTGGAGCACTAATTTCATATCATTTCATGGAAAAGGTTTTGGTTTCATACATGTGACCAGAGACCTTTACAAGGAAGATCAGTGCAGAAAACATTCAAGTAATTCATTCCTTTCCAGGTCAGATTTTTCATATCTCTGGCCTTAGATTCTAACTTCAGTGGGAATTGACTAGTTATTCTAGGTAACTGATTCCAGGCATCCATCATATGACTGTTTTTAATTCAGAGCTTCCATGCTCTTTTTTATTTAACAAACTCTAAAAATGTTATCCTCTGTCTTGACTTTCATTGAATGCACATTTTAACTGGCTAGAGCTAAAAAAAAAAAAAAAAGTGATTGTTGTCTTAAGAAGCCATATCAAATACCATGATTGTATTTTCCTACTCTAACATTTATAAGAAATAGGGTGCATTTATTTTGGGGTTTGAGACGGTCGTGAGGACTGTATCACTGAAGCCTGTCCCTGCTTTTTGTGAACAATAACAGAATGGTGATTTCTGTACCTGTTGTAGACATTACTATGTAGGATGTTAAGAGGTCCAACAGAACAGAGCTGATAATAATTTCACCTATGTTTTCTTACTAATGAAGGAGAATAGTTGAGTAGATAATACAAATGGCAGGTATTAAAAATAACCTGTATTTGGCTTTGGAATATATTGTGCAACTTTTCAAAGCCAAATTTTCACTCCTCATCTTTTTTTCCTATTGTTGGCTAATAATCACATCTGTGCTTCTAATAAGAGTGAAGTATATAGCAACTGAAGTATATAGCAACTGGCAGACAGAAAAGGCCACAGAATCTAGAGGGAACTGCAGAAAGTTCCCTGCAAAAATTCAGAGAGAAGACAGTTGTTGAAAGTTTGGATTATTCTACATGTATGTAGATAATTAAGAATTAAAAACATTGACTGCACATGGACAGATTGTTGATTATGTGAGTCATCTTAATTTTTTCTGTTGATAATAACGATCCCATTCTGAAGACAAAATATGACTGATTCAGTCCTTGTAGGAAAGGATTCTAGCGTGAGTCCTCTGTGACTAGAAAGAAGCACGTATGTCAAGTGCTGAGGACAAAACCATGTGCTGGGTGAAAAGAGGTAGTATAATGCGCTTTACCAAACAGTTCTTTCTTTCTCTCCCCCACGGTCTTCGGTCTTGTAGAACAGGCTGACGGACCTGGAGATACTCGCACTGCTGATTGCTGCCTTAAGCCATGATCTGGATCACCGCGGTGTCAATAACTCTTACATACAGCGGTAAGACATTTGCCCCAGTGGCAGAAGAGGGTGTTTCTTTTAAATTGTTGGGCTGTCTTGTTAAAAGTAGAAGCCACAGCAAATATTAATGATACGAAATTTCAGTTGGTCAAGGTCCCGTAACATACTCTGGTTTTGTTTAAGGGAAATGGAAAAAATAGTGCAAGTCCAACATTATATCGGGAACATCTCTGGCCTGAAGTTTGAAAAGTATTTACGTTGAGAATCTTATTTCATTGGAGAATTACCAGGAGTTTTTCTTTAGTTTATGAACACCAGGCTTAAGAGCGTCATTGGAAAACTATTAAGACTAGTACAGAAAAGGTAGAATTTCACCCTGGAATAAAAGATAGTACTTGAAAAGTGCTTAGCTCAATCCTAAGTCCTTAGTAAGTGCCATCCATGAAGAGGTTTTTGGTCTCAGTAAAGGCAGTAGACCACGGTACTGGCCAGTCAGGGCTCTGAGGTCAGACCTGGATTTGCGTCCTCCCCCTCGCCACAGAGTCCCTGTGTGACTGAGCAGGGGTGCTCACCTCTGTGAAGTCAGGATTGCAGCATTCCTACTCATGGGGTGGACCTAAGTTTTTTAAGACATAACGCACATCACTACCAGGTAGAATGCCTGGCACATTTTTCAGTGTTAAAATCAATCTTAGCTTCAGGTGCTAGTGATAGTCCTGTCATCATCAGAAGCCTGCTTTGGGACTGATTTTGAGAGTAAGATACTAATTCTTCAGACAAGATTTCCAGGCTCTCTGTGGACCGTGCTTACATAACATTTGCAATGGCAAATGTGATACTAAAGGTAATCATCAGATTTATGACATCATAAATGCTATCATGACATTTTTGTTTTCTTAGAGCAAATTAGTTGAAAGCATACATTTTTTGGCGAAATTTCTTATTATTGAACATTTTTTAAAGTATGCAAGTGATTCAGCTAATGCATGCATCTCGCTAGGAAATTCCAGATATCTGATATCTTGAGAGAACTTCAGAAAGCTCTCTAGTCACATCCCCTTCATCTAAATACAGTAAGTGGAAGACTTGATATAGAAAGAACTGTAGCAATGCAGCAACCATGCCTTCTGCTAACCACTGATGGGAAAAGATAGCAAGCTCTGGCCTGGCTGCCGGGGCTAGCTGTTTGCTCTCTAAAATCGAAGGTTTTGGAGAACTGGCTGTGTGACGTACCCTTCGTCCTCGGTGCTGTGTCACGTGACTGGTCCTGAGCTCCCCTCAGCACAGGAGCAGTTCCGAGAGGGAACGGTGATGTGGAGACATGTAGCGGAGAGTCTAGAGCAGCTGAGGGTCAGCCAGCCGGGCGGCCTTCTCTTCACTCAGCCCTAAGCATTGTGTCATTAGGATGTGGACTGTTAGTGTATGGATGGCCATACTGCCCTGCTTCAGGGCGAAAGAAAGTACTCAGCTATTTTTTCCCTTTGTTTATTTAAAAATAATCACCCACAAAAAACATCTGGAGAAACGTCATCTTCTCTTCAAAAAAAAAAAAAAAAAGTCCTGGGAAAAAAACTGCAGGATCTTACTTCCACATATACCACAAAGTAGACTTGCACCAAGTAATAACAACTTTTAAAAATAAATTAAAGGAGTTTCAGAGATACTTATTTTTTCCTACATCCCTGTGGTTTGAGTAGAGGAAGCCAAGAATGTTCCAGGGATGTTTCTCTTTTTCTTTCCTTGGTGATAAACAAGTGGTATCTCCAGGAGGATTTTCTTAACCAAGGGACTCTTGGGAGACTAACAGTGTCAGAAACATTTCCATATAAAGAGCTGGCTTCTACAAAGGTGTACTGTGTCCAGACCTTTATCAAATATTCAAACACTCTGTAAAGAAACCAAAACAATAAAAGGCGGCACAGAAATGAAAGTTAATACATCAAAAAGAGAAAAAGCCCTTATGAAGTAGCAATGTTAGAAAGAGAACTAGTGTCATTTGTTCTTCCTGAAGATCTCCTCAGAAAATCTGAAGTAAGCTATCCCTTGTTTAGGAAACTGTTTAGATTCTTGATGGGATTCTCTGGTTCCTCCCTGGTTCAGGAGGAGGGCCTTTATGAGGAGCACTATGAGTATGCCAGTGAAATACTCGGAGGGAGAGATCACTGCCTGCGCCTTCCTCCCCCACATGGCTGGATGATGGGAAGAGTGGTTTCAGATAGATACCGGATTATTCTCTTAAAAACAGACAGTCCCAGAACAAGTGGCTGAAGAACAGACATCTGCGTGTGCAGAGACATTTTCCCCCATTAGGCCTGTAGTCCATATTGGAGGACTGTGGTAGATACATTTACTTGGTTAGATTCAGGGTTTGTGTTTTATAAACATAAATATAGTGAAATTATCCTACATTTTAGGCAGATGGATAATGTGCGGTTACTGGGGCCTGTACTTTGTTAGGCAGAGAGCTATAAACGTGTAAAATTCAATCCGTGTTCTCCAGGAATGTTTATTATAGTCTCCTCAAACAGTGGTGATTAATGTCAAAGTATCTGGTAAGTCCTCTGTTCTTTAATAACATGGGCTGGAAGTGTTCAATAGAGAAGGAGATGGGTCATGATCAGCGTAGCCTATCTTTACTGTTAATGGAAGAAGTCAGAGTTAAACCAGATCTTTGAAGTGAGTAAGACTTGGAGAGGAGAGAACATGAAAATATTCCAGAAATACCAGGAAGTGGGCATTTTCATTGGCACAGCAGTGATGGCTAGCCTGAATAGTCAGAATGAAAAGTAAGAAGTCAGAAGACCCTGTCGAGGGAGGGCTAGAAAACCAGGCTGTGCATTTTATTTGGTGTAGTGACCACTGAGTGGTTAATGGCATTGCTTAAGAAGAAAAAATCTGAACGTATGGTGCCAGGTAAACAGGTAATAATTAGAACCACAGAGTTCAGCCAGAAAGCTGTCAGGGGAAGCCTGGTGTATACGAACATCACATACCAGCTGGAGGAAGGAAGGAAACTGTTTAAATCTAATATTGAACAGTTAGTGATATGCAAGAAGGAAGGGGGAAATCCTAACGCTGGGTCCAGGAAATGAGCAACACTGGTGCCACTGATGAGAGCAAGCGATCTGGGAGGGGTGTCGGCACGCCGTGTCTTTGGGGGAGCCCGAACATGGGACGGTGGTTAGGAGATGTAGGATGGCCAAGTAAGGCTTTTTCTTTCAAGATTAGAGATTCAGCCAAGCCAGAATGAAAGAACTTCCTGGTAAGCACAGCCCGATCACGTGTGTGTGAGTGTCCTGGAAGAACTCGCTCCGCACCGTGGTCCCCTCCACTCTCTAACGGAGGAGCAACAGTGAGCTGGGTCATGAATGGGCTGGTGGTCACAGAGGGTCAGCAGGATCGCAGAGGCTTCACAGGGCAGCAACGACAGCACAGGAACCACACAGTCCGAGAAGTTCAAACTGAGTCGTGTGCCTGAGCCAGGAATGAGGTCATCCTTGGTAACGCTGGAGAGCCTGAGAGACTGGAGGTCTGGATATGAAGAATGTGCAAGTTCAGTTAGTCTTAATGTCAGTAGCTAATAATAATAGTAATAACAGTAATAGAAGTTAACCTCAACATAGTCATAGCTTTTAGCCTTGTGGCATTTGGAACTCTTTCTAGCACTTTATATACGTGAGTTCAGTTAGTCCTTAGACCGGCCTGAGTGCACGTTCAAATCCTGACTCCTCTCACTATATGTCTTTGAGCCAAGTCATGGAAACTTCCTGTTTCCTTCTCTGTATAGTAGAATAATGACAGAATAATACCTGTCTCACAGGGTTTCCTATGAGGATTAAGAAGTATAAACCGATGCAAAGTGCTTGGAACAGTACCTGGCACAGATTACCCACTCAGCAAGTTTTAGCTATTTTCACAGGACAGACAAGAGCTCAAGACCTTGCTCTGTCCCAGAGAGGGACAGGCACTAGCAGAAAGACTGTGCCCGGTAGCAGCTCGGTGCTGTGGAACAAAGAAGGGAATGTCTCCTGCTGTGAAAGAAAGACAATCGGCAGAGCCCAGGAGGTCAAAGAGCTGGAGTCACAGGGTGAAATGATTCCTCAGCTTGAGTGTCCGTGATCAGAGAGAACAGGAACATAAAATAAGCCCTGACTGACAGGCGATCGTGGTGACTTGGAGAGAAATTATGAAGTTGAGAACTAAATGGGTTGGCATGGGTTACAAAGAGTAGCTGAGAGATTTGAGCCCAGAGCAATATATGTGGATGAGAAGCCAGATTAAAGGATGGCTGTTAGAGCCAGTGAAAAGGAGTACTGTGCCGGGCGGCTGTGTTTTCTCCCAGCACTTTCATTTTCTCCTGACTTCTAAGGCACTGGTCTGATTTCCGCACCAGCGCCTTACTGCCGGTCAGAGATGGAGCAGCGACTGCAGGACAGGAGGAGGGGCAGGGAGGGTGTGCTCGCCCATGACTGGTCACGAACCGCAGTGGGGACAGTCCTGCAGCAAGTGGTTTAAAGTGTCCTTGTGACATGACCTTGAAGGAGGAGGCCATGTAGCCTCGTGTTTCCAAGAGTGAGAAAGTGACAGGACAGAGGATACACTGATTTCCACGAATATCTTTGTAAAGACAGAATTTGGGGCATTTGTCACCCTGTCATTGATTCATAAATCCATAGTTTTAGAACATAAATAAAGGCAAACCATGTGTGTAAACATGTAAAAATGTCAGTAAATCTGCATTTGTTTATCTCACAAGCCAAGAATCTTCTCTAATGTGAAACAGTCCTTTCTGCATGGTGTAAAGACGCAACATGCATTCGAAATTTTAAACGTGTTTCCACTGTACCTGCCTCGTGTTTCTAGTCTGGCTGCTAGGTCGGTGAGTAGGTGCTGGTGTCACGAGCCAGCGTCACGCGGTAAAGAGGATGTGTCTGAACCCCAGCTCTGCCATTTGTGTTGACCTTGAACAAGTTAGATGATCTCTCTGAACTCTAGGTTGTCTAAAAAAACAAATGCTAAAATGCTGTAGCGACGCCTGGGGCTGGGTCTCCCTGGAGCACACAGCCTGGGACAGAAGCCGGCGTGCGTAGAGCTCAGGGGGCGTGTGATCCCAGGGGGCAGAAATGCAGGCCTGAGGGTGGGAAACGGACCGGAGGGGAGGCAGGAGGAGGCCGAGGGAGCCAGATGTCCACCCGCAGGGGCGCCCGGCGCGCAGTCCTGCCAGGAGCTTGGGAGCGGTCTCAGGACAGGAGACGCAGAGCTGTCTGCAGAGGGACAGAGACGGACGGGGAGGCGGCGGCTCGCCACCCACGCCGTAGCCACGGTCACAGGTGACCTCCCCAGGCCTTCGCGCCTCACACTGGGCTGAGCGGCTGGGGGCAGGGTGTGCCCGCGGGCAGAGATGAGAGGCGTTCTCGCTGGACCGCCGAGCGCCTCCTCACGGGCTCCTCACGCCTGTGTCGCAGCAGGCCTGACACTGGACGCCACGACAGCGGCTGCAGTAGGAGGTGGGACTGAGGATGTGACGCGGTGAGCGAAAGCGTCCTATACCAGAGTATCGTCAAAATCAAACCAACTGCTTCGCACAGGGCCGGACATGTCACAGGCTCTTAGTGGAGAGTACTTGTTATCACTAGGGAAAGGGAATCTACCAAACTGAAAAGGAATACAGTCTGACAGGTAACAGACTTATAAACCACCAGCAGAGGAAGACAGATGGTGATACTGGATGTGCTTAGGTTTCTCATATAAATGAAAATAGCAGATACTCTAGGAGCTTTGCCTTTCCTAGGTGAAGGGGATGAGGAAGGCTGCAGTAGTTTTACTGAAGTGTAAACATGAGCGACACTAGTGGGTCTGGTCCGAGCGGAGAGAAAACACCGCTGCCACAGCAGACTGTAGACTCCAGGCAGGATGTGGGGTCTGTTTATGCTGGGCCCTCTGTGAGCCCAGGCCACCTCCCTGGAGACCTCATCTGCTTGAACGGCTGCATGCCAATGTGACCCAAGTCTTTCCAGTCCAGACATTTATACCCACGTGGTTGGACTGCAGCCGCCTTAAAATCAATAGATCGAGCGCTCATCCAGTCGGCTTCCCTTCTTCACCCCCATTCTAAATCGTCTTCTCCCTTTTTCCCCTGGGTCAATGAATGACAATCCTGAAACTCGGCCTCTCTGCTTTCCCCCTTCATCTCTCTCAGCTCCACTAGTTCCCAACACCAGGACTCACTGCCAGCTCCTGACTCATCTACCTCCTTAAACAACTCTATTTGGGATTCTACCAAGTCCAGTAGAATCCCAAGTTCTACCAAATCCACTCTAATCCAGGCTGTCTCTTACCTGGGTACTAAAACAGTTTCCCACTAGGTTTCTAACTAAATCCCAGTAGACTCCATGCATCTCCAGAATGGTTCTTATAGATCTGCTTGTTTTAGTTCATCCCATGGTCTTCCTGTTGTCCAGTGATCAGCACAGGATCTGACCTATGGTACAACTTACTAGACATGAAAGGAGCAAAGAAGACAAGGCAGGAGCTACTTTGGGAGAAAGGTTGCGACAATGAAGAGACGTGGCACCTTGGGAGTCAGCAGCGTTGGTTGTGCTATCAGGAGGAGATAAATTATCCATTCTCTTCCCTTTATTTTCATTTTACTGTTTTTGTTTTCCCTTTAGCTGCTCTCATTCTTAGCTTATTTTTTCCTGTGTTACCTTTTTGGGTAGTGTCTCTATCTTCAACAAATGAAATACAAAGTAAAATAATGATTCATAGAGTAGTATAAAGGAATAACCAATCAGTTGTATTATCTAACACTTGTATGATGCTTTACAATTCATAAACCCCTGTCCTCTAAATTTAAGAAACAGACTTTCAGGAACTATAATTTTCTTGTTGTTTTGAAAGAACAAATAGTGGAAATGGTGCTTTATATTCCCACGTGAAAGGTCATGAGAAATAGGAGACGGAGGACTCTGCTTATCATGCTTCAGAATTTGATTTGTGACTGTTACACATAACGAACTGACTGTAATATCCTCTCCTCACCCCTTTACTTAATATGGGTTTCTCAGGTGGCGCTAGTGGTAAAGAACCCACCTGCCAGTGCAGGAGATATAAGACATGTGGGTTTGATCCCTGGGTCAGGAAGATCCCAAAGGAATCTTCGGGAAGGAAAGGAAATGGCAACCCACTCCAGCATTCTTGCCATGGACAGAGGGCCCTGGTGGGCTACAGTCCACAGGGTCACACAGAGTTGAACACGACTGAAATGACTTAGCACACACACACCACTTCACTTGGCCAAATGGTTCAGCATTGAGTCCTGCGCTGAAGTAAGCTGCATCCCACAGGGGGCTTTTTCTGACCTGGCTGTCTTCTTCCTTCCTCCAGTGGGCGAGACGTGCACGCACTGTCCCCCTTTCCCTTGCTTCTCACCGCTCATAACTCTTACATGCACGTGCAGAGACACTGCCTTCAGCCTTATTTCAGAACAAAGACTCATATGGAAATTTATTTCAGATTTTAAAGTAATTGCACTTTTGAAATTGCAAAGTATTGTTGGTACAGCTGTTTCAGGTGTTTTTTTTTTTTTTTCATGTGTAGAGAAAGTAATCCTTTGTTCTTATTCCTTCTACTATCATTATCTTAATAAATATAAAAACCAGTGAAATTGCTCGTACTGTGAACAGGGAGCAATTACATTGATATTTGAAAACAATTTGACTCTTGACATGTATTTCCCAGAGATGACCTCACTCTTTCCAGCAGAAGGAGAGAAAATTGCTTGATTAATTTTTATGAAGTAGCCTCTTTTTCAGTTAACCAGTAAGAAATTGATAACTGATATATATGTTGGGGAAATTGGTCATATTTTAAACTTTTTTTTCTTTCTTCAACTAACCACGTTTCAGAAGTGAACACCCACTTGCTCAGCTGTACTGCCATTCAATCATGGAGCACCATCACTTTGATCAGTGCCTGATGATCCTTAATAGTCCTGTAAGTACCTAATTTATGGTTGTGGACTTCCAAAAGAGAGTTTATAAATTCAGTTTTATTTTTAAGTTTTGGATTTATTCCCAGCATCATAAATTCTTGAGCACGCTTTATTCCTTTTTGGGTAAGAAAGGCAAAGCCAAAACATTTGAGATCTTCACAGCCTTACTTCTCTAGAAACCAGAAATGTCTTAATGTTGCCTGATAAGGGAAAACTGGTTACTTACCTCAGTTTGGTTATTCCAAATTAGAAACAAACAAAACTGGTATTTTATGGTTCTCTGTTAGTTGTTTTTGTTAAATGATGCGGTTTATACTGCTCTCAAATGTCTTTCACAGGCAATACCTTTTCCTCTTTTTATTGAAACTTCTGACCACTAATAAACATTTCTGTTAAGGAATAAAGTTATTCAACACTGGCTAAATGAATATCAATGTAAGAGAGCATGTGATATGCTATGCTAGTCATATTTATGTTAAGGAAAATATTAAAATGATATACACCAAAATATTCACAATGGCTGTCTTGGTCTACTTAAATTATTAGCTTTTTAATTTTCTGATTCGAATTTGTTCATTATTCGCATTATCCATTGTATGCATATATTACCTTTATAATAAGAAAAAAAATGAAAGTTGTAGACTTTTATGTTGAAAAGGCACAGTCCGTGGCATGTGATTTTAAAGCAATTTTATCTCCATCTCTTTACATTTGCCCACTGGGTTCGTCTTCCCTGAGCCTTAGAAAACTTAAGAGGCTTATGACTTGTGGTGACTCTTTTTAAGTAAGCGCTTTCTAGTTACTGCTTTACATCACAAAATACAGTATACGGTTTTCAAGTTAGAAACCAGAATGTTCAGTCCCATGGAACAGCACAGATCTCGGACCTGACTTAAAGCTTCAGGTCCTTTTCCTGCCCTGGCTGGCCTCCCTCGTCCGTCCCTACGCTCCTTTGACTCCTTTCTCACACCCAAGTCCCCACGTCCTGGAGAACAGGGAAGAAGGGGGCCCAGAACGCTCAGCAGGCTGGTGGCCTTACGCCTGCCCCCTCTGTGCCTCACAAGGGTCTAACACGGGTTCTTTTCTCATGAGTAATTCCATGATCATGGCCACACGACCTAACTGTGGGCTTTTCCACTGACGTCCTCTTGATACGCGTGGCCACCTCTCGCAGTGTATCGCCTATGACTTCCTCCTCGGCTCCTGGAACTCTGAGTAGTGACTTTCATCTCCTTTCTGCTAAGGTTCCTTGGCTCTCTTTGTGGTCCTCTTGAAAAGGACAGGGCTTAAAGGGACCTAATGCCTCCAAAACTCAGAAGAGGAAGGCCATCCTGAATGGAAGCAACCTCTCCTTCCTGCTCAGTCACAGGATCTAGCCAGCCTGGGTCTTATCTTTTCAATTTTCCAGACGTCAATGAGACACGAGTGCACTGTAGCCCCAGCCCACCCACCCAGCTCCAGGAGACACACAGCGACTGCAGGCCGCTCCCTCCTACTTGAGGGAAGAGGAATGCAGGCCTAACTCTCAGTGTGGGTGAAGGGCTGAGTTCTGTGGCCAGTTCTGGCACCTCCTTGTAAATTCTGCACATGCTCTAGTACAGACTGTCTGCTACAGATGTGACTTTTAACAAGAATTAGTGTGTGACTGGGAGGTAGGGGGATGATGTTGGTAAAATGTACAAATTGTACCGTTTCGTGCACAAGTTCTCTTGGGTTAGGTGTCAGAATTATGGGAGCTGAATTTCAGCCTTCAGCAAGAAAGGAAGAAACGCTCTGCTTGGCTCCTGCCCGAGCAGCCCTTTCCGTTGTTACAGGAGTACTGGAAGTGGGCACTTGCCCCGAGAGGCACCCCCTCGCCCTAGGCTGTGCTGGGCCGTGGGGCGGAGGCTGCTCGTCCTCCAGGGCCGCCCGTGATACAGCCCCACTGTCTCCGCGGTCCAGTTCTATCTGCACTGCCGCGGGCCTCCATAAACCAGCATTTCCATTCCGCTGCTTTTGTGTCCGCTGCTTTAATGTCCTCAGAGGCAGCTGCCAGACGTGTGAGCCTGGCCTGTCCAAGTTTCCTTCAAACATCCTAATCCGTGGTTTGTCTCGTGCTCTGGTTAAAAAGCTGCACGGGCTTTGCGCGGTCTGCCCAGTACTGTTCTTCCCATACACCATGTTATTTTTAGTGTGTGGCTTTTCTGAACTGAGACTTGTCAGGAATGTCTATGCTGAATTATAGCAGAAACATCTGTACCTTCATTGGAATTTGCTGTCTTTGCCCTTCAGCTCAAACTTCATTTTTAATATCCTATTTAGTTTTGAAGAAAACATGCTTAACCTTTTTCTTAAAAAGCATATTGTACAGTATTCCTATCACACTGCTCTCTGTTATCAGATGACATAACTTAACGATGTAATATATTATAACATAAAAGGAATCTTGCTGTATATATGGCCGGCCTCATAAGACCCATCTCTACATTCTGTCTTTGTAAGCACGAACACATAGGAATTTATAGCTTTTGCTCATGGAAGGAAAAATTAAAATATAATACCAAAAGACATTTCTACTTTTCCATTTAACATAGTCTTATCTTAAATAAAAGTATCAGAAGCTATCTTCTGAACAGTACTGTTTTGTCCAGAATCTAAGGTGATTTAATATTTAAAATAGTATTTCTTGTATAATCACAGATTATTAATTAGACATGTATTACAGTTTCAGCATCTAATTATCCTCTAACCAATGTCTGACCCCAGCTCAGTAGCTTTCTTTCTTCAGAGCAAATCCTTTGTCTCTAAATCCTACTTCTAAGCTTCTGGGTTTTTTCCCCTCAGCGCTAATGTTTAGGAAGCACATCTGACTCAATTTACAGATGTTGTTTTGAGTATAGTCTGAGTACCCAAAGTATGTTTCACTTAGTTCAAGATCAGTGAGTCAGTGTGCTTTAAATTACAGGCAAGAAATTTTAAAAATGGTGACGTAGCAAAAATTTTAGATATTTTGCACATGGATTAGCCATCTTTGAAATCCTCCTTATAGTTGTTTCAAACTCTTCTTTTCTTGAGGCACACATCACTCATGCCTGCTACCCATCTATGCTGCACATGTCCCTAGGAATAAACACTATTCTCAATAAGAAGTTAAAAATATATAAATCTGCCCCAGAAAGGTTATTGGATTTGTTATAGAAACCAGAGAAATGATTTTTAAAATAATCATTTATAGTTTCATCCCTCTGTTCTTCACATCTATTATATATTAAATCTATATGATTTTGATTTTTCAAAGTTTTACTTACTGTCAGATTTAGCAGTTAACTTTCCCAAAGGAAAAAGGTATATAGTCATTAACTTTTGGACCTGGACTAAAGCCAAGAAGTACAAGAGTTGGAAAAACATGCTTACTTTGGTCCATGAACCATCATGAAGGTGTTTTTTTCCTCAAATGACAAGGTGGTGGGGTGGGTGCCTCAAGGGGAAACATTACTTAATGCTGTTTACTTGTGTAAGGAGGTGTCCTCTGTCTTCCTGAGTTCGGAATGTGTGTAAGAGATGTGACTGTATTTTCAGATTTTGTTCTCAGCAGCAGCGTCTCCAAGTGGAGTGCTTACGATGGTTTTCTTTTTTTATAAAGGGCAATCAGATTCTCAGTGGCCTCTCCATTGAAGAATATAAGACCACGCTGAAGATAATCAAGCAAGCTATTTTAGCTACAGACCTAGCACTGTACATAAAGTAAGTTTTAAGAAATATCTTGATAAATAGATTTCGGATGTGTTTGCACAGTTTCCAACTTTAAAAATCCCCATTGGGATATTTTTAGATTATAAGAACCAATGTCCTGGAAAAGCTGTTTATCACACCATGGAGCAGTTTGTTAAAGGAAGCCAGAGAAGTATACTCAACGTTAGAAATGACAGAATACAGAATTGTTTCTGATATCTGTCTTTGAAGCTCTGCACAAAGCAGATAACCATCTCAAGGTCATTCTAAGCTTGGCTGGCCAATCTAAAGGATATAATAATGCTCTCTATAAAGGGCATCTGCTTCTTCTTCTGTCCTTCATTCCCCCAACTTCTGACCATCTCACAGTCCCTTAAACTGTTACCCAAGCCCATGTGGGCAGGAAAAGGAGCTGAGTCCCAAACAAGTAAATCTTATTTGTTTTTATTGGATTTTGGCAGAAGAGTATTAACATAGAACTTTATAGTTAATGTAGTTAACGACTTAAGAATTAAAGTATGCTTGAGAGTGTATCAGTGATGTAGGTGTGTGAGTAACTAAACTTACTTTCTAAAAGAAAGGAACGATGTTGCTGGGTTTGGGCAGCCGTCTGTTACCCACACAGAGTCCGGGCTCTCTGCTCAATGTGTGGGGGTGGAGGCAGATGGACAGTCACGCTCACGGGATTTCCTGGGAGCGAGGGCCTCTCCCCCGCTGTGCACAGATGCACACTGTGGTTTTAGCCACTCTTGAGAAGTAAAAACAAACAGAACAGACACACAAACCCGCACGCCAGAGAGCCACCACTGTATGTCCAAAAGTAACTTACGTCTAAAAGAGTCTGTTTTCTTGGACTTTGGAGCACTTTAAAGTTAATTAGGGTAAAAAATATATATTGTAAATTTCAGCTCAAAATGACTGCAGGATGATGGTAACTGTCAAGCTGCCAATAATTTGAAAAGTACCTGAAACCACAACGACTTCCTGACCTTTCCAGGCCACATGGTCTCCCCTCTGGATCCTTCCGAAACCTCTTTTCATTTTGGTACACAGTCACAGACAGGCAGTTTTGTTATGCAGGTTTCTCTTCTGTGTGTCTTGTGACTTTGACTAGTTTAAATGTTATGAAAAGAATTCATGTCTCGCTATTTCCCAAGATGCTTAACCATGTTGAGCACATGGAGGTATTCACTATACAATGAACAGACATTAGTTTATACTTGGTCTTTCTTTGCTTCAGAAGAACTTCACAACTTTATACTGACATATTTTGGTATATAGTAAAAAATTATGTGAATGAGACATATGAAATGAAATTGAAGCCATAGAGATCTTGCACCATATGCAAAATTTCTTAACTCATTCTCGGCATCAGATTTTTAACTCACATTGTTTGATATTCAACTAAATCATATTTGGGAATCGAAATTTCCATTACTTGTGACTTTAGTTAAAAGTGAGAAAAGATTTAATATTTCGACCAAAGGATATGGTAGGAGAAGAAAGTAAAGTATTCAGGATTTTTATATGATTCTTACATTGGATTATATATTCTTATATAAGAATATAAGAATCTAATATGAGAAAAACCATTAGAGATTCTTTCCCTGAAATTTTACTTGACGAGCCTTTGTTGACCAAAGGGATAAGATCTCAGGGGACTCACCATAGCTTAGGGGACTCATCGTAACTACCAAATATTTTTCTTTATTTTAAAGGAGACGAGGAGAATTTTTTGAACTTATAAGAAAAAATCAATTCAACTTGGAAGATCCTCATCAAAAGGAGTTGTTTTTGTAAGTAGGATTACTATCCTTAAAGATGGTTTTGCTACCCAATTAATTTTACTGCAATTATTCGTTACAATGTGATGATCACAGAGGCTGTCAGAATTCTTACAAGTGTTATACAAAGGGCTAAATATGAATATTTACTTAAAAAGGAATGCATTTGCAAATTCAAAAGAATAAATTACTCTTTTTGTCCTAGAAGGACCTTTAAATGTGGTAGAGTAACATACAAGGCTGTAGGGGTCCCTTGTTCACACTCACAGTTCTTTTGAATGAAAGAGCTGAAAACAGCATCCTGAAGATTGCTGGAGCAAGAACATGACTGTGAAGCGTCTACTTCCCTCACGCGATGGCAGAGCAGCAGTCAGACCTTCAGCTCGGCTGGCTGCTCAGTCGAGTCTGACTCTCTGTGACCCCATGGACTGCAGCACTCCAGGCTTCCCTGTCCATCACCAACCCCCGGAGCTTGCTCAGACTCAGTCTAGAGTCAGTGATGCCATCCAGCCATCTCATGCTCTGTCATTCCCTCCTCCTGCCTTCAGTCCTTCCCAGCATCAGGGTCTTTTCCACTGAGTCAGCTCTTCGCATCAGATGGCCAAAGTACTGTAGCTTCAGCTTCAACATCAGTCCTTCCAATGAACACCCAAGACTGATCTCCTTTAGGATGGACTGGTTGGATCTCCTTGCAGTCCAAGGGACTCTCAAGAGTCTTCTCCAACATTACAGTTCAAAAGCATCAATTCTTCAGTGCTCAGATTTCTTTATAGTCCAACTCTCACATCCATACATGACTACTGGAAAAAAATATAGCTTTGACTAAATGGACTTTTGTCAGCAAAGTAATGTCTCTGCTTTTTAATATGCTATGTAGGTTTGTCATAGCTTTTCTTCCATGGAGCAAACATCTTTTAATTTCATGGCTGCAGTCACCATCTGCAGTGATTTTGGAGCCCAGAAAAATAAAGTCTGTCACTGTTTCCATTGTTTCCTCATTTATTTGCCATGAAGTGAAAGGACTGGATGCCATGATCTTCATTTTTTGAATGTTGAGTTTTAAGCCAGCTTTTTCACTCTCCTCTTTCATCAAGAGGCACTTCAGTTCCTCTTTGCTTTCTGCCATAAGGGTGGTGTCATCTGCATATCTGAGTTATTGGTCTTTCTCCTGGCAATGTTGGCTCCAGCTTGTGCTTTATCCAGCCCAGCGTTTCTCATGATGTACTCTGCATATAAGTTAAATAAGCAGGGTGACAATATACAGCCTCGACGTGCTCCTTTTCCTATTTGGAACCAGTCTGTTGTTCCATGTCCAGTTCTATCTGCTGCTTCCTGACCTGCATACAGGTTTCTCAGGAGGCAGATAAGGTGGTCTGGTATTCCCATCTCTTGAAGAATCTTCCACAGTTTGTTGTGATCACACAGTCAAAGGCTTTAGCAGAATGCCTTAGTAGTCAATGAAGCAGAAGTAGTTGTTTTTCTGGAATTCTCTTGCTTTTTCTATGATCCAACAGATGTTGGCAATTTAATCTCTGGTTCTTCTGCCTTTTTTAAATCTACCTTAAACATCTGGAAGTTCTCAGTTCACATACTGTTGAAGCCTGGCTTGGAGAATTTTAAGCATTACTTTGCTAGTGTGTGAGATGAGTGCAATTGTGCGGTAGTTTGAGCATTCTTTGGCATTGCCTTTCTGTGGGATTGGAATGAAAACTGACCTTCTCCAGTCCTGTGGCCACTGTTGAGTTTTCCAAATTTGTTGGCATACTGAGTGCAGTACTTTCACAGTATCATCTTTTGGGATTTGAAATAGCTCAACTGGAATTCCATCACCTCCACTAGCTTTGTTCGTAGTGATGCTTCCTAAGGCCCACTTGACTTCACACTCCAGGATGTCTGTCTCCAAGTGAATGATCACACCGTTGTGGTTATCTGGGTCATTAAGATCCTATTAGTATAGTTCTTCTGTGTATTCTTGCCACCTCTTCTTCATATCTTCTGCTTCTGTTAGGTCCATACCATTTCTGTCCTTTATTGAGCCCATCTTTGCATGCAATGTTCCCCTGGTATCTCTAATTTTCTTGAAGAGATCTCTAGTTTTTCCCATTCTATTGTTTTCCTCTATTTCTTTGCATTGATCTCTGAGGGAGGCTTTCTTATCTCTCCTTGCTATTCTTTGGAACTCTGCATTCAGATGGATCTATCTTTCCTTTTCTCTTTTGCCTTTGACTTCTTTTCTTCTCTCAGCTATTTGTAAGACCTCCTCAGACAACTGTTTTGCCTTTTTGCATTTCTTTTTCTTGGGGATGGTCTGGATCCCTGCCTCCTGTACAATGTCATGAACCTCCGTCCATAGCTCTTCAGGCTCTGTCACATCTAATCCCTTGAGTCTACTTGTTTCCCCCACTGTACAGTGAATGGTGAGGGATTTGATTTAGGTCATACCTGAAGAGTCTAATGGTCTTCCCTACCTTGTTCAATTTAAATCTGAAATTTGTAATGAGTTCATGTAATGAGCCACAGTCAGCTCCGGATCTTGTTTTTGCTGACTGTATAGAGCTTCTTCGTCTTGGACTGCAAAGAATATAATCAATGTGATTTCATCATTGACCATCTGGTGATGTCCATGTGTAGAGTCATCTCGTGTTGCTGGAAGAGAGTGTTTGCTATGACCAGTGCATTCTCTTGGGAAAACCCTGCTAGCCTTTGCCCTGCTTCATTTTGTACTCCAAGGCCAAACCTGCCTGTTACTCCAGATATCCTGTGACTTCCTTCTTCTGCATTCCAGTCCCCTATGATGAAAGGACATCTTTTTTTGGTGTTAGTTGTAGAGTCAGAGCTTCAGGGTTCTGTTTTTCCTCACCTATTTTCCCTGTCCCTCCCTCCCATCCTTTGCTATACTATCACTGCCTTTTCCATGACGAGAACTAGACCAATAAAATAGAACTTAGTGTGAATAATAAAGACAGAAGTAGTAATAAGACTGAGGATAGTGCTCTATTACAATTTTATAACTAAATCTCTTAGATAGGTAGGTATTACTTCACATGCAAACAAATACACAAATAAGGAAACATAGGAAACATAAGGAAACTGTTCTGAACAGTCATGCTTCATATGAGAGCCTCAGCATGTTTTTTAGAGCAGTGCCTTAGAAAAGGATACACACACTACTGCAATCTGTGACCAGTTTTTCCCAATAACAAAGTTAAATGGAATTCCACCTCGATTCCAAGTCTGTGCCACCGTCTTCACTGCTATGCTCTCCTAACTTCCAACCTCGCTCAGAGCAGCGGCTAGTACACCCAGCGCTCAGGTGGCCTCTTCCACTCTTCACTGTCCAGACTGTAGTTAAGCTTATCCAGACACTGCATGGTCTTCTTTGGGGGAGACAGTTTGCATTGGCAAGCATTATTGAAATCCTTCATGATTAAACATTTCTCTGGTGTACTCATTACCTGTGACAAGAGTTGGTGTAAGAGAGTCTGAGGCCAAAAACCATTTTCTTTGTGGCCTAATATGGTTAGGGAGGATGTACTTTTATTTAGATTGTCCCTAGAGGTACAAGTGACACAGTCCTTTACCTTGAGTGTTCCTATATATGACAGTGATGACCTTTTTGCCTATGTCTTCAAACAGATTGAAAGAATTAGATAGCAGGTATTTAGACCTGACTTGGAGAAACACTACACCAAAGAGAAACCATTTTCACACAGTAGTTAGAGTATTGAGTTCTAGAGCACCTTGCCACAGACTCCAGAGTCCAGCATGGTTTTCAACTTCTCTAACAAGAGAAGGAGTAAAGAGCACCATATCCTTTCATTTCCGTCTTCTCTTCAGCAGGTACTGTTCAATAATTTAAAGACTTTTCACATAGGAGCCATGACGTGTGCTGAGTGAATTAGGATGACCCATCACAGTTCTTGCTGTCACGGGGGTCTTATCAATAGGATAGCTGATGATGTTTAACAGTTAATTATTAGTAATCAATGTGTTTTCACCATACTGTCACTGAGAATGGAAGGCCAGAGTAAAAAAAATAATAATAGCAGGCAAGTTTTTGCACAGAGGTTGGTAATTTCTCTCCTTCTGCTAATCTGGAGATACAACAAGGCAGTTTGAGGGCAAATTCCAGTAGTTCACTGGGTAAGCAAAACAACTGACACTGTGATACCATTGTATCAGTTCTGCTTCTATATAAATTCTATTTCTGTTTCTTTAGTCTTTGTAAACTGCCATCTCTATAGTTTATGGGGTTTTAACTTTTTATCAGCAACTAACTGTTTACTAGGGTTTATAGTCACATAAAGGTATATAGTCACATAAAGGAGTATTGGACCTCTTTTTCCTTAACAGAGCGATGCTGATGACAGCTTGTGATCTTTCTGCAATTACAAAACCCTGGCCTATTCAACAACGGGTATGTTGTTCAGTGATGAAAAAGTAGTAATTAAAAAGTCAAAGTATGTGATGATTTGGGAGAATAGCATTGAAACATGTATATTATCATATATGAAACAGATCGCCAGTCCAGGTTCGATGCATGAGACAGGGTGCTCGGGGCTGGTGCACTGGGACGACCCCAAGGGATGGGATGGGGAGGGAGGTGGGAGGGGGGTTCAGGATGGGGGACACATGTGGACCCATGGCTGATTCATGTCAATGTATGGTAAAACCATTACAATACTGTAAAGTAATATAGCCTCCAATTAAAATAAATAAATTTTTTTTAAATGTCAAAGTATGAAAAACCTTTACTCTTAAATATAGTTTTTAAAGTATATGGGAAACTTAATCTAAATTTTAAGTAGTATTAGAAACAGATAGTTGGACATAAACACTTTTTTTCTTTTTTTTTCACTTTTTTATAAGACTTGTTATGACTTAATAATATTTGTAAGACTTATTAAGAAAGAGAGCATCTATATTAACACAGCAAAAACCTAGCTGCTGATAAAGTTTAATTCCAGTACTGCTTCTACCTCAGTTTTTTTTTAAGCACATCCCTTTATTAGTCTTAATAATTAGAAGATGCAAACTCCATTTTCTTGTGGTTAGCCTATTAGGCTATACTTCAACTCTAAATAGGCATTAACAAGTAGAACTTAAATCTGGTGCTCATAAATATAGGACATGTTGATATTAGATATCCAGAAGGTTCTGATTAGAGCCCATGATCAGGTGGCTAGAAATATATCGTCTCTCTAAGGAAGTTAACTGCCGTAACACTGTGCTGAGGCATAAAGGCCCTAGGCTACATACAAGGCGGGGGGGTGGGTATACATGCAATGATGTGTATATTGTGTTTGTTTTTTGAGACTGCATTTTCAGTCCTAAATGTACTGAGATTATTGACAGTTGCTGTTGGTCACAACTATGGGATACATAGTCATGGAGCCCAGGAGTGATAGGCTCATCTCCTGAACCACGTGCTGACAAAACAGCACCAGGAATGCACTCTCCAGGTGCCAAAGCTGACATGCCATAAGCACGCAAGAAATGTCTCTACAGACCTTCCTGCTCCATAGTAAATAAGACTACATGCCCATTTCAAAACAGGAAAGAGAATGGAAGAGGAAAGAATTTCTTTCTTTCTCTTTCTTTTGAATCAAACTCTGAAAACACAGCAGTGAAGCTAGGGTCCAGATAAAAAGCAGCACTATAAAGCCTCTATAATTAAAACAGTTTGGAATTGGTATCAGACCCATGGAACACAATAGAACACTGAGAATTGCATAGAACATTTACATAATTAAGATAGCATTTCAAATAACTGGGGGAAAGACAGACTTTACTCAATAATGTTAGGATGGTTTTCCCATTTTCCATAGCCAGATGGCAAAAGATGAAACCGGATCTATTCTGCATACTTAAATTCCAAATGGGGCATAGAGCTCAGTGTAGAGAATTAAACCATACAAGTACTAAGTAAAAACATTTGTGGATTCTTTTATAACTGAGGAGTGAGAAAACTTTCCTAATTACGGCTGCACATGCAGAAACAATAAAGACTGACAAATTTGATTACATGAAAATAAAAAATTAAGAAAACTTTTTTGCATGACAAAGACACATTAAGCAAAAACAGACAATGCTGCTGCTGCTAAGTCACTTGAGTCGTGTCCGACTCTGTGACCCCATAGACGGCAGCCCACCAGGCTCCCCTGTCCCTGGGATTCTCCAGGCAAGAGCACTGGAGTGGGTTGCCATTTCCTTCTCCAATGCATCAAAGTGAAAAGTGAAAGTGAAGTCGAATTAGTGACCCCATGCACTGTAGCCTACCAGGCTCCTCTGTCGATGGGGTTTTTCAGGCAAGAGTACTGGAGTGGGGTGCCGTTGCCTTCTCCGAACAGACAATGAGGAACAGGTAAAAAAGTTGATAGAGAAAGAAATGCAAATGGCTCTTACTCATTTGGAAAAGGTCTCAGAACCTCAATCACACGGAAAGATACAAATTAAAACTGTACTGACACAAAAGGACTTGTACTGAATCTCATGACAGCATTATTCCTAATAGTCAGAAACTAGAAACCATCCAGATGCTCCTCAACAGGAGAGTGGGTCAATGTATTAGAGCACACTACCTCACACAGTGCCGCTCCGCAACAGGAGAAAGAAGCTGGCGCTGGTACAGGCAACGCCAGGGACAAGTCTCACCAGCAGTGTATGCTGAGTGAAAGTAGCTGGACGTAAAGGAACACATGCTGTGATGTCATTTACGTCACGTTCTAGGAAAGGCAAAACCAATCAGTGGTGAAGGAAGTGAGGATAGTGGCTGAGCGGAGAGGAAGCAAAGTAGGTTCCGTGACTCACACAGAGGGCCTGAGGGCAACTTCTGGGTGATATAAACACTGTTTCTTGGTTGGAGGGTGTGTTAACCTACTCACATGCATTTGTGACTATAGACCAATGATCTATGCAATTCATTGAAAAAAAAAAACCACACTAAGACCATTTCTCAACTGTCTGATTGGCAAACATTTAAAGATTTTACAGCATACTCTGTTGGGGAAGCTGTGGGAAAACAAGAAATGCAAAATACTGTAACTGTTTGGAAGTATATGATTATACATAATCATTTACTATTACTTCTAGGAATCTTATCTCAAAGATATACTGGCAAGAATATAAAAATGCATTTACATAGGCTATTCATTTTAGTGCTGTTGGTAATAGCAAAAACAAGAAACAGCCCAAATGTTCATTAATATGGTACTAAGTAAGCTGTAGTATTTATTTATATGATGAAGTCTCTGCAACAGTAAAAAGAAAGGAGCACTTTCTATATTTCTACGGGGTGATTACAAAGATACAAGTGAAAAAGCAAGGAAGAGAAAATGGGTATGGTATGTTACCATTTATCCGAGAAGGCAATGGAATATGAACGTATGTACTTATATGTGCATATATTTTTAAAAAGCAGGAGTAACTGTAAAAAAGTTAATGATTTCCCACAGGGGAAGGAGGGAAAAAGATTGAGGAACAGAGGTATAAGGTAGAGTTCCTTGCATGTACTTGTTTTGTAGATTTAATTTAGGAACCATGTAAACTGTGTTTATAAAGTTGAACTTAAAAAAAAAAAATCACATAACCTGGGAAGTAAAATGAAACAATGTGATTTTGGTTGCAAAACCACACTGATGGGGACAGTTTTATTCCAAGAGATTTAAAACCATTACTTGACCATATAACTCCAGTGGGATGTACACTAAGAACAACAACAACAAATCCATTAGAGCTGTTTTTCAGTAATCATATTAGGGGTAATTTTCTATATATATTCAGTCACCATAGTGGGTGATGTGGGATAAAAGCAAATGAGAATTTATATTGATATTGTTGAGAGGTAGGATTTTCAGTGTGAGTAGAAACATAGAGATCCAAGATGGATAAGGTTTTGCAGAAATCCTGCAGTCCTGATTTGAATAGGAAATACTGTATAAACTTACATTGTGTAAGCTCCATTCATTAAAAAGGCTTAAAAACAATGATCACCCTGGTAGAAATGAACGAACCTAGTGCCCTGATTGAAGTTTCTAAATAACCTCAGTTTAAAAGAATGAGGACTCCATGAAGAAATGGCTGATTGCCCGTTCCAAAACAGGAAATGTACAAGATGAGCTAAGAACATCTTGTTATAGCAGAAAGCAAGAACTATCAGACTGATAACAACACCGTGTCAGAAGAGCAAAGAAGCCAACTCAGTTGGCCAAAGTGGAACAATGTGGGCATCAGTAAGGATTGAAATACGTTAAATATGTTTAAATCCAAAGTTCAAAATAATAATAACAATAATAAAACCTTCCTTAGTCATGTTTGTTGGATGCTTGAGAACTGAGTTATTATTTTTTTCTAATGGTAATTATAATAGAGAAAATCAAGTTATTTCTCCTTTATTTATACAAATTATACTTCAGGGTAACTAAAAATTGATGTGGGGGACTTATTCTATTTCAGCTATAACGAAAAAAGGAACGATTGCTTTGTATATTACCTTTTTGCAGCCTCTAAATTAATGGATCCAGGCAAAGCTCATGAAGGACTGTTTATATCACAAAGAGAGGCAACCAGGCATTCCATTGTCGACCAGGCATTCCATTGTCAGAAGTACATGGCAAAGTCTGAGAAACAGTCGTAGCAAAAAAAAAAAAAAAAGCAAACTCAATCTAATCAAGTGTCTAGATCTCATTACTGGTGTATGGAAATACAGGGAACAGAGAAACATTCAATTTCATTATGGAAACACAATCAGCAAAATCCAGACAACAGGAAACTATAGGATAAACAACCCAGTTTATTCAACAACAGTCAAAATTATAAGGACATTTTTTAAGAAGAGAGAAGAGGAGGAATTGGTAGACTGAAAGAAACCTAAGAGGCATGTCAATCAGGCTCAGGATAAGGACCTGCCTGATGCTGTGTTTCCCGCGGGGCCTGGGATGGCTGGTGCCTAACCCCTCACTGATGATGCCCACAGGTGGGCACGCAGTGCTGTCTTCCCACTGCTGCTGACGGTGAAATAGCATGTTGCTCTTCTCTCTGAATTACAGATTACAGACTCTAGCCTTTGTGATTAGCTACACATTAAAATAAATTAAATATTTACTAGGTACACATTAAAATATTTCCTGTTCCTGCTTTATTCTAATTTTACTGATGTGGTTAAAAGCCACAGATTTGCTGGGTTTTATTATCTTCATTTAAAGTCTTTTACTGAGTGATATGCCTTTAATTACCCATACTTAGTCTGTTATTGATTTCAGATAGCAGAACTTGTTGCCACTGAATTTTTTGACCAAGGAGACAGAGAGAGAAAAGAACTCAACATAGAACCCACTGTAAGTATGAGACCTTGTTGGTAGGAATTACTCATATACATGGTTTTGTTGTAGATTCCTTTTTGTGCTTCTGTGAGATTTTAGGAAGACGATTTCTCATCTTTTATAAAGTCCTTTTTCTTACCTGAAGAATTAAACATGCTCATTATAGAAAATATGCAAATAACAGAGGACAGAAAAGACTCTGAGTTATCAAATCATACCTACTTTTTGTAATTTTTTCCATTTATATATCATAAGCCACTTTTCATTCTAACAGATGCTCTGTCCTATATACCATTTATAATGGTTACATGAAATAGTGCATGCATGCTCAGGCATCTCCAACTCCTTGTGACCCCATGGATTGTAGACTGCCAGGCTCCCCTGTCCGTGGGATTAGCCCAGCAAGAATACTGGAGTGGGTTACCATTTCCTCCTCCAGGGGATCTTCCCGACCCAGGGATCAAACCCTCGTCTCCTGGGTTTCCTGCATTGGCAGGCAGATCCTTTACCACTGAGAAGTGGTAAGCCCCACATGAAACAGATTCAACCATTATTTACTGTTTGGTATAGTGTCTGTAGAGTTTACTATTACAAATAGCACTTAGATAAACATCTCTTGCTAAATATTTATATACTGCATTTTTTGTTTAGGGTAGGTAGGGAATCTCGAATACAAGAAGATTCTTCTCAAACCACTGAAGAAGTTTTTCCTGAAATGGATGAATTTTAGTTTTTCCTGGAGATGGTGCATAGAGTCATTCTTTTACTCAAATGAACATTTATTGAGCCCACATTAAACGGGCCGAGGTTACGAGAGGCCCCTCCTCTGCGTACCATTCCCTCTGCCTTACTCCTAAGCCGCATCCGGGCACACCCTATGTCTCATTAGTCTTCTGCAATTGTTTAGTCTCCGAGACACAGTCGTCGGGCTGCCCTGGCGGCTCAGTGATAAAGAACTCACCTGCAGTGCAGGGACACGGGTTTGATCGCTGCGTCGAGAAGATCCCCTGGAAAAGGAAACAAGAACCCGCTCCCGCATTCTTGCCTGGAGAACCTCATGGACAGAGGAGCCTGGCAGGCCACAGTCCATGGGGTCACAGAGTCAGAAATGACTGAGTGACTAACCACACACACAGTAATAGGCTTGTTAGAAGCGCGGAATCCTCTCAGAAAATGGTGGGTAGTGGAGTGATGGTCACCGCTAACGGAGAATCTGCTTCATTCTAAAGAAGCACTGAGACAGACTCTGCTCCCCTCAGAGGTGCTGGCTTTGTCTGATGCCCAGGCAGGAGCTCCTGAGAATAAGCAGCAATGGTGTCTGCGTACTTTTCACTCAGAGAGCTCTCTCTATGAACTGAACTGTGATCGGCCGTGGCCTCAGTGGTGTCTTTCATGAAGTGGAGAGTGTGTGACTCCACATCAGTTAGACAGTCAGAAAGCATGTGTGTTCTCCAGACACCTGTCAGCAGTGGACACTGGTCAGGGCCCAACTCTAGGTCACCAGCTGATCTGAGGCCAGTGATCAGTTCTGGGGGTCTCGCAGGGACAGTCACAGCCCCGGTGAACGAGAGACAGAGGAGCATGGCTTGGTGCAGGGGGGTCGGAGCCTCCAGAAGGTGAAGGGGCAGGTAGGCAGGTATCTGGCCTTCCTCAGCTAACCAAGGGATTCATCGTTTCAGGGCCAACTTGTGTTCGTTAAGTAAATGCAGATCTGTGTGTGTGTTTCTGTGTTTTCAGGATCTAATGAACCGGGAGAAAAAAAACAAAATCCCAAGTATGCAAGTTGGATTCATAGATGCCATCTGCTTGCAACTGTATGAGGTATTTACTCTGAAAACTTCTAGAGTTTTGAGTGTGTTATGAAGTAAATTGAAGCAACACATCAGGCACGTATTTTTTCCTTCTTAATCAAGAAACTAGAAGCAAAATAATCAGGACATTTCTTTTACTAATGAACATGCTGTTTGTACTGAACAAGGAACACATTTTATATTTACTCTTTCTCAAAAATGTTAATTCATTGATGTGTAACTACCTAGTGAGTGCCTACTGCATCCTAGGCGCCAGCAAATTCATGTAGCGAATGCTGAGAAAAAGTATGTGCCGGTGCTATACTCAAAGGAGGTATATTCTGCATACTCTATGTTAGCATATTCTTTTTAAGGCTGAATTTTGGCCTAAATAAGGAAAAATAGCTATCTAACTGCTTCTCATACTGTGACTTTATTACTATTAAGAAAATTTTTATGAGGATTACAAGCAGGCAGCTAGGAAAATATTGCAGGTTCCCATTTTCATATACTTATTAGTTTGGGTTTTTTAAATTATTCTCCCTAACATATCCAACTGACTAGTTTAGATGTTATGCCCCAAATACAGAAAGTAGATGCTGTCTTCATCTTTATACATTTAAATAGGAAACTGTCTTAAGTATTTGGGGAAAAAAAATATTTATCATAGGAGGAATCATAGACTGCCAAGACTGGAAGAAAGGCTAGAAATTTTTTAATCCAGACATTTCACAGATTCAGTCATTGAATCTGTAAAACGTCCATCTTCCAGGGAGATGGGATGCTTGTCCCAAATAGGTAGGTAAGTGGGAGAACTGTGTTTAGAGTTCAGTTCTCAGCCTGGGCCCAGGGTTCTAACCATCCGATGAACTGAGTAAAGAAGCTGTGGCTGATGAGGAAGAAAAGAGGAGGGAGGGCCAGGAGAGACAGCAAAGGAAAACAGGACGAAAGCGCGTGTGAGGCTCTGGCGCCCCTGCCCTCCCTGCTCGGCAAGCTGGCTGTTGACTGCTCTGCAGAAGCGCTCCCAGCAGTGTCTCCATCACCTCCAAACACTCATCCTTTCTGTAACAAATGCCTTCCTTATGGATTGGATTAAGAGCTCCTCAGCTGGAGATACTAATGTCTCTCTTCATTTTTTTCCCATGGCCATAAATATAGTCAAATCACTCATTGTAAATTTTATCCTTCTACATTTCCTATTCATTTTATTTGAATCTACAGTTAAATTCTGTGTGATATAGACAGGCATTTTTACTATTATTACAGAAGTAATAGGTTCTTACAGAAAAATCGGAATAACAGAGAAGCAAAAAGATAAAATCACTTATAATACTCTGTGATAACCACTGTTATTTTACTACGTATTCTTTATGACTTTCATATATTTTTCATTTAACAAAAATTGCTCTTTGCAATCTGTAATAGAATGTACATCTTTCTGTTTCAAATGTGTTTTCTATGACAGTTTTAATGGCTGCAGAATAGTAACACAGTATTTCTAACCCCACTGTTGGGTATTTAAGTCAATGTTTGTCTATGACACAGAAATCTAAACTGAACGTTCTTGTAAGCTGAATATTTATGGAGCTATAGTTGGTAAATAATAATGCCATATAGAGTTTAATCTTTATTATAATCTTGAATAAAAATCTAAAGTATATTGGATAAAATTATTTTATAGAAAATCCCAGAAACTAAGCACCTCCCCATGAAGTCAACACTTAGGGAGAACCATCTGTATATATAAAAGCAAATGGATTATTTCTCTGCAGAGCCGATTCCACACAGATCTGTCTCCACTGCTTAATAATGTTGCATTGAAATGTGTGCATTTGCTCTTTGTCTCAGCATGTGTTGCCCGTCTGTATAGCTTAAGAGGAGTCATTCATAAATGATCTGTGATCACAGCTCTGTGAGAACAGTCTGTGAGAACCCCAGGAGTGGGTCTGCTTGTGAAGTGAGTGTGTGATGTGACCCTCTGGGACAAGCCTGGGGAGAGGGCTTATTTCCCAGTCGCCATCTCGTCGCCGGCTTTCTTTCTCCTTCTTTAGGCCTTGACCCATGTGTCGGGGGACTGCTTCCCTTTGCTGGACGGCTGCAGAAAGAACAGGCAGAAATGGCAGGCCCTTGCAGAACAGCATGAGAAGACACTGATCAATGGTGAAAGCAGCCAGACCAAGCGGAACTGAGAGGCCTGTCCACGCAGAGCTGAAGTTGACAGATGGTGTTTCTGCAGTATGCCTAGTTTTGCTATACACTGTACAGATTTGGTGTATACTTTGCCACTGCTGTATTTTTATTTTTGCACAACTTTTGACAGCGTAGCATGAAATGTTTTTAGAGGACTGTTGCATATTTTCTGTGTATCTGTTTTATGCCACTGAACTGAGATTATCAATGACACCCACTCTTAGCACATGGATAAGAGCACTGTTTGTAATATTGTGTGTACTGCGAAGTACACGTTGCATTCTTGCACGGAGGCTTTTTTTTTCCCCTGGGGATTTTAAGTAATTGGTTTTGTGTTTTCTGAATTATCAATCTTTCAAGAATGTTTGGAATCTTTTCTTTCTTAAAAGTAATCTGGGAGAAAACTGAATATATTCGGTGACATTTACAACCTTCACAGAATAGAGAAAAATGTTAGCTTTTAAAGCTTGTTGGATTTTAAAAGGAATGGGCTATATTTTTCAACACTGTATTACCTTAACAAAAGAAAGTTAAAAGTCTAAACAAATGGAAAGTACTATAAGGCAGTATTGTAAAGAAAAGGCATTACTGAATTAATTTGGTTTTTTTGTTGTTGTTAGAGAACAGGCAAGAGAGAAATTTCTTATTTCAGTGCAATACATCTACCCAAAGGTTACCCGTAAATGCTCGCTTCAACCTAACAGACCTGGTGGAGAGCAGGAGCCTGGGAAGAAGACCCAGCCCCTGAGTCCCGGGGATGAGCAGCTGCAGAAATGGAGCGGCCAGGACAGCTCCACGGACGACACTCCTGACAGTCAGGGGGTCACACACCGAGCTTCCTTTTCGCTCGCCTCACGGGTCACAGTTGTAAGTCAACACTTTGAAACCCAACAAGGAAGAGAAAGAAAGAGATCACGGGCGCACAGGCCCGAAGTGAGCTGTGACCACTCAGGATAAGGGGGTATGCACCCTACACTGGCCCCTGACCTCATACTTGGTAGGATTTATTTCTCAGACATTTAGAAAACGCTAATGTTTTCTTAGAACTTGAGCTCATTTAACTGTATTCCCACGGTACATATGTGCCCATAAAGACACTTGTATTCCATATGAGAGAAGTAGATAACGAACTGAGAACCTGGTTCGGGAAAAGAAAATCTGCTCTAAACTTTAGTGCGGTAATGTTTAGACTTGGGGAAGAATAGGAAAACAGGCATTTCATCTGTTCACGTCCTTCCACATCCCTGAAAAAAGTTTGAGTTTCTATCATTGGTTTGGATAGAAAAGCTTTTGGGGATATGATAATGCAGCATTCTAGAAGAATTTTCACTAAAACATATTTTCCATTTATATGGAAAATAAAATAGGATGTTTTTCCCTAAGCATCCTAAAATTCAACATGTAAGTTTGTAAAATTCTAAGTGTGTATATGTATCTTGACATAAAGTAATTTTATTCTTACCCTTCAGTTTAAACAAAACCAAACAAAACAAACTGTATGGCCATCATTTTGTAGTGGAAGGGAGAGTCTAGAGGGTCATCAGTTGTTAAATGCTGTATGTGTTGCTGTGGTGACACTTGTAGCTTCAGCGTGTTATTCTGGTTTTTTTAAGTCATACACATGAGATCTGAGAGTTTGCCTCTTGGTGGCACTGGTGTGTAAGTTACACAGACTGTCACTAACATATCTTCATGCCAATATATGCCCATGCATGCATACTCAGTTTCTTAGTACAGAAAAATCATTTGAAGAATATGTCTTTTTAGTAACCTATCATTTTACCATACACATTGTGATTTAGTGGTTATGCTAAAATCTGTAGTCAAATATTTCAGCAATTTGTTCAGAGCCTCTCATGTATGTCATTAAGATTTTTACAGACATAGTAGACTATAGAGAATTTGTATGTACGTCATTTTAACAAGTAAGAGGACATATTTAGAAATTCTTGGTTTACTTTTAGATAATGGCTTATTTTACCTTACTAGTTTAGAAACTGAAAGAAGTTGGGCAATGCTATGCCTATTTTATCTTTGGATATTTTAGTTCATACAGAAGAAGAGTGCTTCTTGAAGCCTGGTTAGTTGGTTCAAACAATTTTTAACTCTTAGGAAAATCATTCCATACATGGATTAATACCTGGTACATGGGCACAAATTTTGTTCTTATGTGAATATTTCCTTTCCAGTATCTTCTCAAGTTGGGGGAAAATAAATACATATATATATATATATATTCTCTCACCCTACCCTATATTTATATTTCCTGTAACTAGCAAGAAATTGTTCTAGATTAGTTTGCTTTTGTTATACCTGAGTAACATGATACCATTTCATTTCAATTTTCAGCCCCAGAAGTCCCCACTACTTTGCTAAGTTGTGAATGATGTCTGTAAGATTGCCTGCCCAGCCTTATACTTTCACAGGACTGACCTTTGCCAGTCACTAACCTGTGTGAACTCTAGTTTAATTGTCTTAACTGCTGTGAGCATGAACAAGTTGTGCTGTTGAAGGAGTTGTGTTTGGGCTAAGCCTTCCCTGCAAGGAGGATGTCACAGAGGACAGCTCTGTGTCAGACCTGATGGGCCCTGGAGACCACTGTCAGAAATGAGATAGCGGGCCCCAAAGGAAGGTATCTAATCCCATATGTTATTTCCTATGTCGAGTTTCCAAGACTGGGGAGGAAAAAAAAAAAAAGTATATTTCTTTGGTTCCTAGTGCAGATCATTAGTTGTGTGAGATTTAGAGCTCTCTGAGCACCTCGCCTCAAGGTACAAACACCACTGATCTCCCTACTACAAATAACAGTCTCCTCCCAAGGGAGGGCTGGACAGTGTCCTGGAGAAAATGGGCTGCGGGAGGAAACGGGTCACAGATACATTCGCACCTAGCTGTGAAGTGCCTTTATTTTCAGCAAAGAGCACAAATGTCAGACCGACTCCAATTTTATGTTCTGTTTCCCTGTGTTTTCCACCAGACTGTACTCCTAAAACTTTACAGGCCATCAGAAGAAATGCTGTTTGTTTTGTTTTACAAGCTTGATTCAAGATGGGACTGGGGGGAAGAGTATAGCTGCTCTCCTCTCCTAGGAATAATTATAGTTAAAACAAGGTAGTGTAACGCAATGCTCAGCATCTGGCATGCCTCAGTCCACCTTTCACTGAGCTCCTGCCACGTCTGGTACTGCGCTCACAGTGGAGGCCAAGCAGTGACCTCATGGAGTTCCTAAGTCTCTGCAGGGAGTGCTGGATAAGACTTACCAGCTTCTGATTCTGCCGATTTAATGTGAAAATACAGGGTACAGTTATCACTTTCACTTATAACATATGTGTTATACAGTTTTTCAATGACCTTCTTTACTTGGAGCTTCTTAAGAATCCCTCAGTGAACACCCTGTCTTCTTATAAGTATGCATCACTTAGCCTGTTGATAGCTTAAAGAACACATTATGTAAGTATGGAGTCATATATTCCACTATATGGATTATTTTTCCATGTGCTAGCCAGGTAGAGATTACTCAAGAGTTCTCTCAGACCGTTAAGCTGCACACGGTTTTGGACCCCTTCTGCTCCACCGCAGGGAGCGAGGAAGAAAGTATTAAAGCTCACTTTGCCCTTCCCATATGCTTCTCAAAAGCCTATGTAAACATGTCTTAATGAATGTTGTTGAAAGCCATGTAAATAGTTAAAAATATAAATTTCTAATACAGTTTAAGGGAAGAAAAAACTTATGAATCATCACTAGCCACTTAATATCTATTTCTTATACCTTTTCAATACATTTGAACAACTATATAGTTTCTAGCACTATTTTTGTACTAGGATAAAGAGTTATTACTATGTATATTATGTTTAGCATTTAAGTCATTTAAAATAATTGTGAATGTTGGTTTCTTGTCTTTCCTCTCCCCCACCATGAAAACCATTTCATATGACTTTGACAAAATCACTTTAAAGGAACACTTACCCACCTGTGATGCCAATGATAAGGGTGGTTTTTCCATTGTGCAGGCTCATCACTTGTCAGCTGTTTCCTCATTTTGCCATGCTGTGTAAAAATAAAAAGAAGAATTAACAAGTAAGTATGAGTACTGTGTGATTCTTACAGGACTTTGAATTTTAGGTGAGGAGAATGGGCCCAAGAGTTTGAATGACTTTAATCCACAGCTAACCTGTGGTCCTATTAGCTGGGGGGGGGGGGGGGGATGGAAATGTGGTCTAATAAACTCCTTTGTTCAGCCGAGACATCCGAGTAAAATAATCTTTTTGTTAATATCCTTTGCTATTAAGTGGAGGCCAACAGTTTCCATACACCTCAGCATTTCAAGTCTCTAACAACAGAGACAGTAACTGTTAGCAACAAGTTGCATGAGGAGCTAAGGCTTAGGAATTAAAGACTTGCCAAATGGCATGTTGGATGTGAGCCCAGACCTGTCTAGTTTGAAAGCAGGTATTTATTCCACTTAGTTCTCTTCTCGAATTTTAATTGTAAAAGATCCCGAATCCACTCTTAGTGGATCAAATGGGTTACCTAGAAGCATGAGATACAAGATTTCCTGCAGATGTGGTTTCACTGGGACTTTAGAGTTAACATTCCTTTGGTTCATCTGGTAATAGCTAATGCTATGCCGTCACAGAAGCCCAGGTACCACTGTGCTTCAGTGCTACTAGTCTAGAGGTGTGGAGGTATAATTAAAGGCAGTACTTCTGATTCGTTATTCAGTTTTGCCACTAGACAAGCCCTCTCATGTTGAGCACAGAGCCTCTAGTCTATGCCTAATTCACAAAGCTAAAGACAAAAGTAAAATGAAAGCTCATGTAAAACAGTATTTTAGATAGTCTAACCACTAGATAGCACCATAATTTCAGTTGTATTTATTGAAGTAATCTTAACTGGGTACAATGAATAAACTGCTTTTAAAAATATTTTTACCGCCTAAAGAAAGACAGGGCTCAGTTGATAAGGAATCTGCCTGCAAAACTGTAGAGCCCGGTTTGATTCCTGGGTCAGGAAGATCTGCTGAAGTGATTGGCTCCCCACTCCAGTATTCTTGGGCTTCCCTGTGGCTCAGCTGGTAAAGAATCCACCCGCAATGTGGGAGACCTGGGTTTGATCCCTGGTTTGGGCAGATCCCCTGGAGAAGGGAAAGGCTACCCACTCCAGTATTCTGGCCTGGAGAATTCCATGGACTGTACATGGGGTCACAAAGAGTTAGACATGACTGGGGTGACTTTCAAAGAAAAACAAATGGAAAAAAAATCAATAGAGAATTAAGATTTGCTTACTTACTTCTGGCCAGTGATCATTTGATTAAGATTTTCCGCAAACAATAGCTGATCATCTGAAGTCTCTCTGATTGATACTTAATAGTCTATCCACAGAGCCATCATCCCTTCTTGTATAAAATCCACATTTTTGCTATTAGCTGTGCTGCCTTCTCAGCAAACAGGGATATAGTTGATATATATACATATTTGATATATGCAAATATCAGTGTGTAATTTTCTGTTTTTAAGGCATGTAAAAAATCAACAAACACCTTGAATTTGCAGAGAATATGCTCTGATTTTAAGCTAGATTCTGTCTTGGCAGGAGAAAAACTATGTTTCTAAACCCTTTTTTTTTTTTTTTCAAAATAAAAATCCACTGGAATTATGAATGGAATCAAAATAATAATTGCCTGAATCAAAGGAAATCTAAAAGGCATGCCTGTCTCATTTTTAAGTGTATGTATGAACATGCATGTGTGTGTGTGTGTAAATATTCAGGAACTAAGTTGACTCTTCTCAATCATCTAACAGCAGCCCCAATGGCATGTTTTAGGTTTCATCTTTCTGTCTGAATTTAAGGTACAAGAGCACATGGCTAAGGGCGGGAAGTGGAAGGAATGAACTAGTACATGAACTACGACAACAGCTTTAAACTTTAATATCCCCTATATTAAATACTTTTAGAGCCACATTTCACTTCATATCGCTGTTTCCCTTACCCAACAGGAGTGTTTTCTAGGCTTTATACAAGCCCCATCCAGCATACTGCTGTAAGCCACACGCTTTCCCCTTTACCAGCCAGCTCTCTGAAGGCAGGAGTTCTCTGGCCATGCTGATGCGCCTTGACCAGGGAGGCGAAGCGCAAAACACGCTCACCAGTCACCTCTGCAGCTGTAGCAGCTCGCTCTCCAGAAAACCCAACGGAAGTGTACACCAAGGGTGCTCTGCCAAGTCTACCAGAATAAGCAATGTACTTCTCGGGGGAGTGCATGAAGGCAGGGCTGTGTCCCGTCATCATTTCCCTCTTTCTTAAACCTCTGTTTCTCTTTTTCTATTCTGGCTCCATTCATAAGGCCTTCAAACATACTTGATTCTCCTGGCCCTAAAGAACAGCTACCTGGATCACACAGCCCTCCCACCAACATCTCTTGCATTCTGTTTTTGTTAATACTTGGAAGGTACTCGACAGTGAAAGAACACATTTTCATCCAATTCCCTTTGACATAAAATCAGATCTTATAAAGAAAGGATAAAGTAATTCCAGTGAAGGGCAACAGAAAGATCAATACAGCATTTTTAGAAATTCTCAGACAGGAGCTAAATTTTAAGATGGAAAAATAAACTGAATAAAATAATTTGGGGAAAGAATATTTGTTTTCTATTGTGAACAATAAGTCACCAGGCTTTCATTAATAAACTGATAACCATTGGTGGAGTTTTACTCTCTTTGGGAGTTTCACCATTTTGCTAGGAGCCAAGGAAAATTCATAAAAGGCTAACTAGAGGTCAATGATCTTCTGGAGAAGATAAGACTTACATTTAAAAATAACAATACCCAACAAAAGTCAACAGAAGATGTCGATTCATTTCTAAATACTTGATTCTTTCCTAAGTATCAGGCTCGGGTAAACTAATACACATGGTCTCACAAAGCATCTAGTCCAGCAGAAGCTACAGAGGAGGGCAAACAGTCACGTCTCTGCATCAAGTGTGGGAGTGGAGGGCTCATGGGTGGCTTCCTGAAGCGTGTGACGACTGGCTCAGCTAAGTGCAAAGGAGGGAGAGCATCCCAGGAGGGAGCGCACCCCAGGAGGGAGCGCACCCCAGGAGGGAGCGCATCCCAGGACGGAGCGCATCCCAGGACGGAGCCCATCCCAGGAGGGAGCGCATCCCAGGAGGGAGCGCATCCCAGGACGTAGAGCATCCCAGGACGTAGAGCATCCCAGGAGGGAGCGCATCCCAGGATG